TTATTTTAGTCTATAAAGTTTTTTCGTTTGTATTTTTTGTTCAAGTTACATGAATTTTTGGTGCTCTATATTTGTCCGAAATTTTTTTGGGTGGCGATTTTACCCCGGTCTATTATGGGGGTATAAAAATATCTCAGGTTTAATTTAGACCGGCATTAATTCATAATTCCGGCCAAATATATAATCAAACTTTCAGCCCGCATTTATCATATAAACTAGTGTTCCGCAGATCTGATCTGAGATCCAGATCCGATCCGGATCCGAGGGGTCGAATCAGATTCAAATCCATAAAATATAAGATCCGACAAATTCAAATCCACATGGGGGATCCGATCCGGTATACCCGTTAGGATCCGTTTGACTAGCATACACTGATTGGCTGTAGGTTGTGTACTTTGATTGGTAAATCTCTGAGCCATAAAAGAAGAGCGTTTTAAAATTTTCTAAAGAAAAAAAGAGCATTATGAATATTGTTTTTTTTTTTTTTTCGGTGTTAAGGTGAGGTCATGCCTCTTGTATCTTTTTATTAATTCTTAAGTTTGTATACTACTATACAACCTTGTTGCTCACTCATGCATCTACTAACCAAACTAATTTTTGAATACGGGGCTCAGACTACTTTATATGTAACCTAAACCTACCAGAGTATTCCATATTCCACCTCCATATTACCTGGTTTTTGTGCTTCACAACTAACTAATTTTAGTTATACAACCATATTTCCCCATGACCCACAATCAAACCTCAGTGACTCCCAATTTGGTTTATTCGGGTAATTGGTCCCTAAAGGCCTCCCAGATTGGTGTGCCTGCCGAGAGCCTTTCGTACATGTATCTCAAGCCAGGTTCCTGCTGCCTAGTTAGGTTCACCACATGACAAAGTTGGTACTACCTAACAAATTAGGACTTATCTTGGGTTTGTGTCAACTGAGTTATACCGGTTTGCATTCCTTCATTTCTATGAATGTCTAAACCTTCCACTCATTTGCTCAGATACTACTAACCCGTATCTCAAGCCAGGGACCTGCTACCGCCACCAGTTTGCCATTCACAGGTCTTTTATCATCCTTTTTTTTTGGTCTTTCATGTGCTTGTGTACTTTTCTATCTCCTTTGTACTTTCTTTTATGGTATTCATTAGGAACTTGTTTCGTATATAGTAACTGATATACTTTTAGCCATTGGTCTTCATTGTATATATTGTACAACTTCTAACTTGGGGTATCTCAACCCTGGTTGGTGCAGCATTCATACTGGTAAATCCTTAACTCTTTTCATCATAGACTTCTATATAGGTGTGACCAGAGCTCCGATTTGGTACATTTAATCGTACAGAGATAGGTATGCCCTCTACGTCAAGTAACCTTCTATAGTAGGTTGTTCTGCAGGGCCAGAGGTGTTTCCAATTTCAGTTAAGGTATGATCCTTTATTACAGCCCATAGTCATGTATTGCCGCTTCACTCACTACTCCAGTTTTTCCAAGAACTCCTTATTCTGGTTTTGTACTGTACTTGAACTTCCACAGTGCTTTGCATTCGATTTTATGGCCCCCGTAGGTTACAGAAGTAAATTTTATTAAATTTGCCTCCAGCCCGACTCGAACTGTTGACCCAGTCTGTGGGAGGGTTGGGAGCTTAACCACTAAACTATGGGACCCAAACCCCCATTACGAATATTGTATAAGAGCTGCTTTTAATATGAATATTGAATAACTTAAGGATCTTTTTTTTTTTTTTATGAATTCGTATAAGAATTATAAGAACTTTTTTTTTTTTTTATAAATTCGTATAAGAATTATAAGAACTTTTTTTTTAAGATAATGAATATGCACAGGAACCTTTTTTTAATAAAAAAAACTAAGATTAATGCTAAGATTATAAAATATTTTTCTTTATATATATATATATAAGAATTTTAGCATTTTAACTTTCACAACTTTTATAAGCCAGTAATTACAATGTCAACTTCATTCACACCTTATTATATTGAAGATTATGAACCAGTCTCTGTTTATTTAAGCAGACCTGAAGATTATGAACCAGCGCCTACTTACTCAAATAGGTCTGAAGATTGTAAATCAACGTCAGTCTATTCAGATAGATATGAAGAATGTGAACCAACACCTACTTGCCAGAATAAACCCGAAGTTAGTGAAACAAATCAAGTTAGTAACTGCAAAGTTGTACCTACTAGGTAAAATGAAACCTTTTTAAAAAGATTTTTTTTTTTACTGTATTTAGAATGTTTTACTTACATTTGTTTGTATTACAGATCTTTTGTATGGTTATACTTTAAAAAAGAAAATGGTTTTGCAAAATGTGAATTCTGTAATACAAAGTTAGTGTATCAAGATAGAATGACATCAAATCTTAGAAAGCACCTTAAGCAGCATAAGAAAAAAGTACCTGGGTTAAAAGAATTGGATGTAAAAAAACAAGGTAGTGTCTCTGTTATTGATATATTAAATAATAATAATGTAAGTTTTAAAAATATGCAATAGTTAGAGGAAATACAAGTTATTTAAGATATAATTATATTTATTAGATCAATCATAATCTCCATGAACCTTTCAGTAAAGATGAATTAAATAATCTTATTAAGCGATGGATTATTAAACGTAACCGATTATTTCAAATTACTGAGGACGTAGAACTTAAATTGATCTTTAAGTATTTAGAGCCCTGTGCAGCAGGTATAATATTAAATTATAATGCAATGTGGTGATAAAATATAAATATTTAAAAAACTTTTTTTTTTTTATAGCGCCTTCAGCTAATTTAATAAAAAGATATGTAAGGTGTGATTTTAAAGAGGAACATGTAAAGCTTTGAGCAAAGTTACAAAAAATTCCTGAAGGCATAGCAGTAACTACTGATATTTGTACAACTGATTCATTTGATAAGTCATTTATGGCAGTAACTATACACTATCTTAATAATTTATAAAAGCTTAGAGGCATTTTGTTAGATTTTATTAGTATAAAATGATCACATACAGGTGCTGAAATCTCAAATGCAATGGAAATGTGTCTTTAAGATATGGGAATTCTTTCAAAAATAGTTACAATTATACATGACAATGCATCCTCCAATAATAGATTTTTGCAAATTTTTGCAGAATCTTTATTACAAAATAATATTCAGTTCGACAGTACTCAGCAATCAGTTCGATGCTTTGTCTATATTTTAAATCTTGTAGTGCAAAGTATACTAAATATTGTAGGAGATAGGTTGGAAAGGGTTAGCATTTATATTAATTAAACATAATTGGGTTAAGTTTATTAATTCTATTATTTTTTATTTATTTATTTATTATTATTTTATTTTTTTTTATATAGTTGCACGTATTAATTAGAAGTATAAGAGGATCGCTAAAACGCCATGAGAAACTAAGAATGGCATGTCAATTTCAGGGTATTAATCAATTAAAGCCAATTCTTAATGTAAGCACTAGATAGAATTCAACTTTTGAAATGTGTAATCGGGCTGTGATGCTGCAAATGGTATTGGATACTGTTACTTTAGCTGAGACAGATTTGTGACAGCATGTCTTTAATAATAATGAATAGAAAACCATTAAACTTTTAGTTAAAGTTTTGAAACCATTCAAAGATGGTTAGTAAGTTACTTTATAAGATGTAATAATTTATAAATTTTTTATTTAAAAAAAATAAAAGCCAAATTTGTATATATTAATTGGACGTAGCAATGATTATTATGTCTTCATCCAAGTATCCAACATTATCAATAGTTATTCCTCTTAATCATATATTACTTGAAACGCTTAAAGAAACTCAACAAAAACATAATACATTACAATAGCTTATACAAGGGTATCAAGCTGCAACTACTAAGCTTCTGGAATATTGTCAAAAAACCAATGTATAGCATATTTCAGCAATAGTGTTAGACCCACAGCTTAAATTCCAGTAATTTGAGAAACTCAGATGGTCTTTCCAACTTATTACTCAAATCAAAGATAGGTTAGTTTATAATATAAAATGTAAATCATGTAACAGATATAATGTATTAATTTATACAATATATATATTTTTATAGTGTTAAAAATAAATATGAAAATCAGTATGCTCCTGTTTCTGGTCAATATTTAATGAACTCAATTGTTGAATCTTCATCAGATATAATCTTACGAATTTATAAAAGAACACATGTTGAACATCAGAGCGAGCTTGATTTATATATATCTGCACCACGTGCTGATCCAAATATAAATATTCTAGAATAGTAGCGAATAAATAAAGTTAGTTACCCAAATCTTTCAAAATTTGGCAGAGATTGTCTTGTAATACCAGCGACTAGTGTTCCAAGTGAAGAAGCATTTAGTGTTAGTAATGACATGATAACTGAAAAGTGAAATCGATTGAATGACAAAACAGTACGATTGGCAATGTGTTTGAGGTCGTAGTAGAGAAAATCAGATGAATCGTAAGTATATAACTTTATATTACTCTAAATATTATTACTAATTATTTTTTAAGAAGAAAGTATTTTGATAAAACAATAATCACAAGGGTTATTTGTTAGCAAAAACTCTGTTTTTTTTCATCAATGCATTATTT